AAATAAATCCTGCATTACCCATGATAAGGGGCATAAATATACCATCATTCCCCTGGTTTAGGGCCCTTAAGGTAATGCAGGATTTATATCATCAACCCCTAAGCCCTAAACCCTAAACCCTAAACCCAGTAGAAGAGGTAAGGGCACTGCTGAGCCTTTCGACAAGACATTGCTCGGAGTAACGATTCGGAGTTCCGGGGTTGGATGACTAGGGTTTAGGGTTCAGGGCTTTGGGTTTAAGGTTTAGGGTTTAGGGTTTAGGGTTTCAACTCCAGTCATTCTAATCCTACTGACCTACTGCTGATGATAGAACTCCTGCAGTACCTTAAGGACCCCAAACTATGGGAAGTCTAGTATATTCCTTGTTATGGGTATTGCAGGATTGCTATCATCAACCGTAGGATGCCGGATTCAATCCAGTCTGTCGGAGAGGAGGGCGGGGCCTCGGGGAATCAGAATCCAAGCAAGAGCTTGGGCCAGGAAGTATTGGGATTTAGGGCTTTGGGTTTAGGGTTTAGGGTAAGTATTTGGGGCTTAGGACTTAGAGTCTGTTGAAGGATAGGGGTCATAGGCCGCCGAGGCAGGCTGGACTGTAGAGAGTTCCTCATTCCATTCGGCCCAAGCCGCTTTACGAGACCTCGCAACCTCAAACTCGGAGCCCTAAACTTAAAGCTCAAAACCCTAAACCCTAAACCCTAAACCCTAAACCCATGGTGCGCCGGTCCTGGTGTCTCGCCGCCACAGGCAGGCTCTGCCAGCTCGTAAGCTCATGGTACAGCAAAGGCCCTGCGGTGCAGGGGTTTAGGGTTTAGGGTTTAGGGTTTAGGGTTTAGGGTTTAGGGTTTAGGGTTAGGATCACGATTCTGCTTCGGACGTAGTTCCGTTGCCCTAAACCCTAAACCGCTAAGGCCCGCAACCCTAAACCACATAAGAAGCCCTGCAATACCTAAGCAGTTGGTCCCTCTAAGGGCACCACATCCCTTCGAAGCCCGGAAATTGCGTCTCCAATCTTCCGATGTAGGGTTCGACCGTGTTGTTGAGAGCTAAGGGATTACGGTTGGGGATTTAAGAGTTTAGGGTTGAGGGTGTAGGGTTTGGGATTTTAGGGTTTGGGGTTTAGGGATTGGGATTCAAGAGTTTAGGGTTTAGGGTTTGGGATTTAAGAGTTTAGGGTTTAGGGTTTGGGATTTAAGAGTTTAGGGCTTAGGGCTTATTTGCAGCAGCAGCGGGCCGTGTCCATGACGAGACCCAGCTCTTGCTCCGCGTGCACTTCAGGTCTCGATCTCTTCTTGTGCCGCCTTCGGCGACGTGCTCGCCGGCAGTGTCGCCAGCTTTGCACCCAGAATACAGTTTCGGGGGTTAGATAAAAGTATAGAGTATCTTAAGCAGCTCTAATGAATAGAACTGGTAATTATTCCGGCCCTTACATTATCCTTTGCCGCCTGGGTCCACTGCCAAGTAGCCATACAAAAGTGGATCCATGGTTTAGGTAGGGTAGGGTTTAGGATATAGGGTTTAGGATTTAGGATTTAGGGTTTAGGGTTTAGGGTTTACGGTTTAGTGTACAGGGGACACCGTAGCTCGACCTTCACAAGTTTCAATACGAATGCACTACCGTCTAGAAGTACCTTCACTGGGCTCGGAACACAAGTAGAGACAACCTACCCTAAACCCTAAACCCTAAACCCCTAAACCCTACAGTCACCTTACTTATAATCGCACCTTTCCCATGATCTCTGAAGTAGAGACAAGGATGAGGGTTGGGCGACTGGGTAGCTTGAGGGCTTAAGCTGTTTGCAAGGGTTTAGGGTTTAGGGTTTAGGGTTCGGGCGTGCCGGAGCCCTTCCCAAAGCACTTTTGCGTCAAAAAGAGGTTACGGGTTTAGGGTTAATGTAGGGGCCTTAATAATTCAAACAGGGCTTGGTGGTATATTGTACTATAATACTAACAAGGAACCCCCGAATGGTATAGGCAATTATTTGGGCCCCTACATTAGGGGTTTCGAGTTTAAGCGCTGAACCTTAAGCCGCGAAGCCCAAGACCGCACAGCCGTAGAATCGGGAACCGTAAACCATTGGACCCAGAACCCCAAAGCAACCCTAAGCCCTAAACCCTAAACCGAAACCCTGAAGACCAAAACCTCAAGCCGGAAAATGTAAATTTCCAAACTGTACGCCCTGGACCCGAAACCCAAACCTCCCGAGATCCCTTATCGATCCCCTATCGACCCCTTATAGACCCCTTAAAGAATCCTCCAAGAAACCTTTTAAGCTTCATGGAACCCTTCTAGAGCCGTGAACCCTACTTAAAGGATCATGCGACTTAGTAACTGAGGTTAGAAGTGAGGTAACTATACCTATAATTACTTGTAGCCCCAATTAAGGTGCAACTAACCCCACTTACGAAGTCCCAAGATCCTCCAAGTGAACCCCCAAACCTCAAACCCTAAACCTCAAACCCTAAACCCCTAAACCCTAAACCCTAAACCCTAAAACCCCCAAACCCCGAAACCCTGAACCCCTAAACCCTGGATCCTTCTCCGCTGCCTGCTCCTGCACCCGATGCGAGCTCCTGGGTCTCGTCCACGTCCATCCAAGGAGGCCCATCGGCGGCTCGTGTGGGCGAGTTAGGGTTCAGGTAGGGTTTAGGGTTCAGGGTTTGGGGCTTAGGGTTTAGGGCTTAGGGCTTAGGGTTTAGGGTTTAGGGCTTGGGGTTTAGGGTTTAGGGTTTAGGGCTTGGGGTTTAGGGTTTAGAATAGTAAACTTCCTCAAAGGGTCCTTTCCATCGGGGGTTCTACTGGGGACAAGAGCTTTCCTTGGGACTCCGAGGATGCTTACGGTTGAGGGTTATGGGTTTAGGGTTTAGGGTTGAGGGTTTAGGGTTGAGGGTTTAGGGTTTAGGGTTTGAGGTGTAGGGTATGTTTAGAGTTTAGGGTTAAGGGTTTAGGGTTTGAGGTTTAAGGTTTAGGGTTTCAGGGTTTCGTTGCAAGACACTCCGGATGAAGGTTTATGAGCCGTGAAGCCTAATCTTTTTGCTTTAGGCTTTCAGTTTAGGGGCTTAAAACCTAACCCGCATAGCCCTTCTTGGCGTGGTGAGGGAAGAGTGAGAGAAATGCCCTGGTGGAATTTACTTCGCTGCCAACCGCATCATCGGCCCTAAACCCGAAACCCTAAACCCCTAAACCCTAGATTAAATGGCCCCGTCCCGTGCATGTCTGGCCTTGCACTGCACCTGTTTGAAGCCGAGCACCACCACCACCACCATCAGGAGCATCATCATCAACATCGTCGTCATCATCATCATCATCATCATTATCATCATCTAATAGAAAGTCCTCATCATTTATCAGCAGCATCATCACCATCATCATGGCTGGCCATGAGTGGCATCGTGCTTTTCATCATCATGGTCAATATACCCATCCAGCATCACCATCAGCAGCGCAGCGTGATGCTCATCATCACCATCAGCATGAACATCGTGGTCAGCATCAACAGCATCATCATCATCATCATCAACAATAACACCATCGCACCCGTGTCATCATTGTCACCAGCAACAACGACGACAAGAAAAAAAAACATAACTCGTAACCATATGCAACGCCTGTTCCTTCTTTCTGCCTCTTATCATCCGCACTGCCCCGAACAGGTAAGAGCTGCTGTCATCAGCACCGAATTCATTAACACTATCACCATCGCCATCAGTGAAAACAATTGCTTGACAAAGAAGGCCTGCTACCCCCGCCTAAACCCTAAACCCTAAACCCTAAACTCTAAACCCTAAACCCTAAACCCTAAACCCTAAACCCTTACGCCCTCTACCCGCCCCCAGAAAGAAGCAAACAGCTCTGGGTCTGCTACAGACATCCGCTCCATGCGCTGCGCCGGCGTCTCCTCGCGCTCGACCATCTCCCGCTGCCATGCCTTCGTTAGTTTGGGGTTTAGGGTTTAGGGTTTAGGGTTTAGGGTTTAGGGTTTAGGGTTTAGGGTTTAGGGGGATATGGTAGGAGTACACGTTCCGTAAGACTTCAAGACCATCTACTCAAATACTCAATAAGGTCGACTTAAGTAGAACGTGGCTAAACAAAGGGGTCCTATCACCCCAAACCCTAAGCCGAAAGACTCTGAGCTCTAAGCCCAAAGCCCCAAAACACAAATGCAAGCCTCAGCTAAACCCAAAATGCAAGCCTCAGAAGCCCTAAACCCTGAACCCTGAACCCCAAACCCAAAATGCAAGCCTCAGAAGCCCTAAACCCTGAACCCTAAACCCAAAATGCAAGCCTCAGAAGCCCAAAACCCTAAACCCTGAACCCCAAACCCAAAATGCTAGCCTCAGAAGCCCTAAACCCTGAACCCTAAACCCAAGATGCAAGCCTCAGAAGCCCAAAACCCTGAACCCTAAACCCAAAATGCAAGCCTCAGAAGCCCTAAACCCTAAACCTTGAACCCCAAACCCAAAATGCAAGCCTCAGAAGCCC